TAATCAGTGCCAGCGCCCAGCGGCTGGCAAATGCCATTAGTGTCGCGCGCACCGACAATGCCGCGCGCACAAACCATCATGTTGTCAAAAGCGCCGCAAGCACAGACAGTGCCCCGCACGCAGATCCAATGCCAAGCACCAGCGCCCAGCCACTGGCAGATCCAAATAGTGTCGCGCGCGCTCACAACAATGCGCGCGCAGACCCTGCTGCTCAAGACAAAGTTACTGCCATCGGACTTGCTTCCATAGAAGACTAAGTCTTTTTTATTGTAATTATAGAGTAGTTTTACTTCATTCATTTTCAGTGTGCTTATACAGCTTTCTTAGGTCAACTCATGTAACTTTGGTTTATTTTTTTTAAGCATTATTAAAGGGAACCAAAGCATTCAAACATTCAAGCATTCAAACAATTCTTTGTACTGGTGTCTCTCNAATACAATTATCAGCTTTCATCATCATCAATACAATCATCAGTTTTCATCATCAATTGCTCATTTTTCGCTGTTCAATTGCTCACGATATTGGTTTTTCCGTACGGCACTGACAATCTAGTCTAGCGTACGGAGAGGATCTCAATTGGCGCATAGCAACCGCACTGACATCGATTGCTTAGCCTTACGTCGCCCTTCTAAGAAACTTCAGGAAGGCGCCGCGTAACAGTATATATAAAAGGTTCTCTTGAGTGTTATGTGCAAGGTCACGGGAGAGTATGGATTGCTCTCCAAGAAAAATTCTCTCCAAAATTGTGTGGTCCCAAAGTCAAAAAGAAATCCCTCCGTCGTGCTATTATTATCTGTTTAGTAAGTGTCATTGTATTGATAAAATATAATAATAAAAGAAGAAACAAAAAACAAAACAAAAAAATAAAAGAAACGTAACGAGAAAAAAGGCTAGTAATTTGTGTCAAAAACGTGAATTGTTGTAGGTGAGAATTGTTAAAGTAGGATAAGATGGAATCTTCATTTGTCTTCTTCTTTTCATTTCAATTGTGTAAGATAGAAAATTTACAAAAGTATCTAAAATAATTAAACTCAAAAATGTGTAATTAACTATAACTATGAGAATTATTTCACAAAACTAGACTTTCTAAGATTAGATAAAACTAGGTAAAATGTATTTTTATATTTTCTTTTGGGTAAAACAACGTCTCAAGAATAAGAAAGAAGAAATTGAAATCCTAATAGTCATGAAATCATATTTAAGAAGAATACGTGACTATTTTTTGTTAATTTTTAATTTTATCAAAAGTAAGATAAATCATATATACCTAGACAAACTTACCAATTAGTTAAAATAAATGAAAATATTTTTGTAGTTTTTATTTTTGTGATAAAATAAATCAAACGAGCCAAAAATAATTAAAACAGTAAATTAAATCCAAAACCGACATTTAATGACTAAAAGGTGCAAAATTTCGGGGAGAATCAAAAATCACATGTCTACTATGTAAAGATTGCATCAAAGGTGGAGCCTATACATTGAAGTAATACTCTCTATTAATTATATTGTTTTGCAATAGCACTGCAAGTGTTTATATAACCTTTTCTCTTTTGGTGATAGGTCTGCGGAATTTGGGAGAGCATATTTTTCAATTTGAAGAATATTTTGATGTAACTATTATGCGAAAATTGGATATATTCTGAGAAATACTCTATTTCATCTTTTCTTGCAATTGTTTAGATCACGAGAACAACTTTATTATCTTCACCTTATTTTCTATGTATTTCTATTACTCAATATATTTTTCTGATTAGGACCCATATGAAATATTAATATTTTGAACCCCAAGTTGTGTTAAAGTTGAGGTTTTGTTGCACGTGTGACAAATGATGCAAAACTTTGCCGATGCAGTGGGTAAAGTAGTTGAAAATCGATTTGCTCTTTCATTTCTTGAAGTGAAGATAAGTTTCAAGAAATTAGTACTCTTATGATATTCCTGTGATAGTGAATTACATTATTTTCTAATTTCTGTAATTAAAGTAAAATCTTTTGCTTTGTGGAGTTCTTTCTATTTGTTTATTATTATTATTATAGCTAACTTCTATTTTCTTTACTGTCTTTTTCCCTTCTAAATCTGACGTTCCTTCTACCTTATCTTTCCATTTTTTCTTCCATAATTACATTAATTAAAACATTATATCAAGGAAAAATGACGTTATTTATTATTAGACCAAAAAACACAAATATCTTTTTCTCATTTTTAAAATTGTTTCTCAACATTAACGCCCAACAATACGTGACTATACTAATAATATCTATACATAATTTAGTGTATATATATATGGTGACGTGACACTTCTCATTGACCAAGGATCCTATTTATCCTCTCTTTTTTTGTTGCATTTTTCTCCTTTTTTTTTTATTTAAATAAATTAGCTCACTAATGGCTTGAGGCTTTTTGGTTCCCCTAAAAGTACTTCGTTTAAAAACTCAAACCGTCACCTTTTTAAACCTTCTTCTAATGTTTTAAACTTTTTCCCGTCCCCATAATTACTTATTAATTAGCTATTTATTATTTTGCTTAGTAATTACGTGACACCAAAATCATTTTTCTTTTATTTTTAACTTTCTCGTCAATAAAGCTCAAAATCTCTAACAACAACAACGACCCAGTAAAATCCCACTAATGGAGTCTGGGGAGGGTAGTGTATATGCAGACCTTACCCCTACCCCGAAGGAGTAGAGAGGCTGTTTCCGAAAGACCCTCGGCTCAAAAAAATAAAAAGACAAAATGACAAAAAGGAGACAATATTAGTATCACAACAACAATTATAGGATAAATAGGAACACCATGAAATCCAGAAGAAAGATGCAAAGCAAAGGGAGACAATATTAGTAAATATTAGTATCACCACAACAATTATAAGAAAAATAGGAACACCATGAAATCTAGAAGAAAGATGCAAAGCAAAAGCAATAGCTATTAAATAGGACATGCACTAAAAAGCGAAATAGTAAGCCACAACATTGCCACTAGCTATCTTAGACNTATCCACGCCCTCTTCCTCTGTCTCAGCGCTGAACTTACACTCCAGGTATTTCGTCTTCGTCCTGCTCAGCTTGAAACCCTTAGACTCAAGAGCCTGTCTCCAAACCTCCAGCCTTTCGTTAACACCGGCTCGCGACTCATCAATCAGAACTATGTCATCGGCGAATAGCATGCACTATGGCACATCCCCTTGAATATGGTGTGTTAACGCGTCCATCACCAGTGCGAATAAGAACGGACTGAGTGCAGAACCTTGGTGTAACCCCATTACAGCTCAAAATCTCTAAATATATTTATTAATATTATTATTATTATTATTATATTACAATAAATGATACATTATTTGTAAACAATATTTAGACGAAATGAAATGCATATATATATATATATATATATATCCTATTTATCTTTTTTCTCCCTATTTTACATTTTTTCTTATTTTTATTTAAATAAATCAGCTCAATAATAGCTCGAGTCGTTTTGAGTAACTTTCCTCTTATTTAGACTCTAAATACTTTTCCTCATCTTCTCTTCTCTAATGTTTATATGAATTTGATTGAAATTCAAGAAGTACACGTATTTTATGACGGTTTGTTATCATCTACGTTAAATAAATTTTATATGTACCTATTTATTTAGTGGATAAATAAGAACCAATTGAAGAGTTTAGAAATTTCGCTATTGTCAAGCCAATACTCAATTATTTTACAGTAATGCAAGTAATAAGATGACGTCCTTTAAATTGATCAAGTTGTTCACGATGATAAAAAATTCGATTTGTGATATAATCAATTTCTATATATGCTTATGGATAAAAACTATCTATTTTATCTCAAGTAAATTCAACAAAATATTATTTAAAATATTATCCAATTAAAGCGTGTAAAGCGCAGAAAAATTCACTAGTTGTAATAGGAACATATACATTCAAACTCAACACGAAAATTCAGATTCCATCCATCGTAAACTTAAGCTACACCATTCTCAATAGGCAATTGGCCATCGGTAGATTTTTCTGTTTCAAAATCTTGTCCTCCCCATTTACGCATACGCTCTGTCGTATCTTCCACCTGAAATTCAAGTTGTAATCGGTTACCTGTATAAATGGACTCCATCGTAAAACTTACATATTTAATTACATACTTTTACTACTAATAATACAAAAGTTGGAACTTAGCCAAAACGTTTAAATGGTTTAAATTAGCTTGCAACTTGAATGGAGTATAACATTTTCTGATAAACGGCTTGCAAAATAAGTTAAAGAGGTTGATAAACAAGTGTATGACCGAGGTTTATACTGATAAAGAAAGATTTAGTAGGACCATCAAATAGTAAATCGCCAACTCCATCTTTTAGTGGTGAAATTTTTTTTCATTTTTTTATCGATCTGTCGTGCGTTTGTTAAATAGTTTTTTCAATATGTTTATTCAATTATTCTAAACAAAAAATATTAGTAGGATAATGCAAAAGCTTGAAATAATATATTGTTGCAAATTACATATTTAACCTACCTCTGTAGTCCAATTAGTCTTATACAGTATAATCAAGAGTACAAGGGTCTGCAAAGCTGCCCCTGCAATCATCCCCAACCAAAGTCCCTGCAAAACGTGTAATTAAATTTACCATAAATTCAGAGTTAGTGAAGCAACGTGAACATTAAATTGACAAGAACAGATACTTCCTCTTCTTCTCCACAAGAGGTATTAAAAATTAGGCCAAAAATTATGTCGACAACATAAGACAATCAAGCTTTGCTTTATCACATTGGTTTCATTTATTTTCCTCTCACAGAAAGGCTGGGTTTATATGCCAAAGTTTCTTATTTCGATGGTCTTGCCTAAGAAAATTAGAAAGTTTAGTTACCTTTGTTCCCAATTTTGCTACATAACCAAGAATATATCCAAGAGGGAGTCCAAAAAGGTAATAGCAACCAAGATTGATATAAGCTACTAAAGCTTGCCATCCACCTCCAATAGCAACCCCTGCAAGCAAGTAGGCACAAATAATATCATAAATCTTGGAGTTCTGAAGCAATATATTAACTGATTTTAAAATATTTAAAATGCATTTTTTTTTTTAAAGACATGGTAGAAGAAAATTTTGTTTGACTCCCAAAATAGTAATAGGTTAACATTAATTAAGTGGAACAGAGGGAGTACCTGATATTACGGGCTGAACACTATTAAGAACCATAGTGATTCCTAAAAGGAAAGCAAGACCACCAACAGCTTGTTGCATTTGTTTGCTGCTTGAAAAGATAATGGCCAGATGATTTCTAGCTACCAGTACAATTACCATGCATAGTATTCCAATTAGGAAGCACTGCAACACTGCTATATAGACCGAGTATTTCGTAGCTCTTGGATGTCCTAGCCCGAGTTCATTTGAGACTCGCACGCTGTTCGTTTGGAAGATAAATCTAAGTCAAAAGAAATAAAAGAGTATATGCATCTTTCTCTACATGTTTGCAGTGTGATATCTATTGTTGTCACCTCCACATTATATGACAAACTCAGAAATTAAGTGCAGGTCCGTTAAGCATTAAGACTTATTACCTCATGGCAGCATTAATTCCAATGAATAGCATGTTCTCCCATCCATTGATGTTCATGCTGTAAAACACAACATTTAACAACGGTCAAACATGAACTTGAGAACGAGTCAATAAATGGACGGGTCAATAACTACCCCAACCTTGATTTGGGCTTGGGCCAAATTTAACAGCCCTACATAATAGGATGATTAATATGATGGAACAGGAACTTAGTAGAGTGTAACCTTACTCACCAAATTGAAATGGAGCCAACAGCTATGACGGCGTTATTAAGATGGCCAACAAGGAGGATAATACTCATCATATACCAGATCTCAAGGCATAACATAACAGCTGAAGCAATGGAAAGTCTAACAAATGCCCAAATCTCATTAAACGCCGCCCACGATAATCCCTTCCAACCATCCTTACACCAACCAACAACATATCCCAACTGCGCTATAGCAGTAAGCCAATTGGTAAGATCAAAGGCTATAGCAGCACCAGTAGTACCCCAACCAAATGTATAAATAAAGAGCCAAAGAAATACAGCGTGAACCAGCAAAGCCGCGAACCCAATCCCAGCAAGCACATCCACTTTGCTCTGAGCTTGAAGAAATTTAGAGGTCGGGAAAGTGATCGCAAGTGTAAACAATTGTGGGATGATTAACATAGTGTATCTTCCAGCGAGCTTAGCAATTGCTGTTTCTTGGCCCAACAATTCGAGGACTGGAGTTGCGAATAAGTAAATGGGCAAGAGAATGACACAAGTTGCTAGTAGAATTATGATGGAGCGTTGCATGTAAACACCTAACATGTGAACTTGCCCTGCTCCATAGGCCTGTCCACATAGTGTTTCCAGAGCACTCCCCATTCCCAGCTGAAAATATAGCAAATTGGGAAGTTAACAACAACCCAGGCTTCGATATTATTCAATCGTTTAACTATATTACTACTATATAAATCCTCCGTTTTCTATACTTTATATCACAGCACCTATGGACTGGACACAACGACGGATGTAAAGGGTAAGTTATAGGTTCAATCAAACCTAGTAGTTTTGACTTAGATTTTGTATATGTGTCAAAGATTTACTACCAGAAAGTAGGGATAATTGATTTTGGATCCAGGAAATGAAATGAATTGTGGTAGAATTACGAACTCAAACTCATATAAACTTCAAATCTTGCATTCGTCTCTGTCTGGACAACAGTTAAAACGTAAGTCTACATTAGACATGGCAAAACTATCCTAAGCTCCAACTATTATGGCGCCGAATTTAAAATTTTATATTGATTTTTTAGATGGGCTCAAGCAGCGGCGGATCCGCCCCTTTAGGAAGGAGTGGCAAGTCACCCGCTAAGATGATAAATTTTTTATATACCTATGTTTAAATTTTCTTAAACTGGGCTAAATATTTGATCATGCCACCATAGCCGTAAACTAGACAAATGTGTCATAACTGGTAGATCTTTTTGAAAGTTTTTCTCGTCTGTAAATTTCAAGTTGGAATTTATCTTGAACCTTGTCCGACTTTCCCTTTTCTTTGTGCTTTTTATTTTCTTTTGTCCTGGTGATTTTCCTTTTCGGTTACCCCTCCCCTTATTTTATATATGTAGTATCTAACAAGAACACTCAAAAAAAGAAACTCCAAAACTTTAAAAATTATATAAAATAAGCATTCCTCTTAATCTTATATTTATTACTTTTCTTCTTTCAAATCTGAAAAACTTGGGTCTTAATGGGAATTTTGGATTGAGAAAAAAAAAAGTCATCTTTTTATTATATCATAAAAATTTGTGTTACTCTATGGTTATTAAATAAAATTTAAATCTCTTTACTATTAAATTATGATGAAAATTTCTTAAGTATTACTTAAACAAATATGAGATTTATGATATTGATTTTTGGGAACTTGTAGTTAATTTAATTTTATACTTATGGGGTATAACTCATCTATTGAAGATACTTTTAAATTTTCTTATTCTGATTGAGGTTATTCTCTTGTTGAAGATGTTATCTTACTTATGTAAATTTATTTTTAATATACAGAAAAAGATATAATTTTCTAGTTAAAATATTAATTTTACTTATGTTATTGTAATAAAGGTGTGATTCCTTATTTAAAATGCTAATTACGTTTGTTTTTTTGTATTTGAGATGTAATTTTTTTTTATTTTTACAAATAAAAAATGCCTATTAGGTTGACCTAAATAAACTAAAAAAACAAAAAGAAAAAAAATAAACGTTCCTAACAAATTCCGTATTAGTCATTACAAGGTATACATTAATGGAAATTATGGCACCCGTCACCTTCAAATCTTAAATCCGGCTATGGGCTCAAGGACTTTAGATTGGCAATAAGTTACTTTCCAAGATTTGCACTAATGTATGTGCTACTGCAGCACTATCACTTTATCAACAATTAATCGTTTCTCTGCTAATTGTTTTATCAACATGTTTTTGCATGTAGTAGTTTTTAAGTAAGAGTAGAAGGGAAACAGAGAGCAAACCATGAAGCCAAAAGAGAAAGTACTAATGACAGTCTGCGCTATGGAAATAGCAGAGAGGTCAATATTTCCAAGATGCCCAACAAAAATATTGGTAAGGGAGTTGACTCCATATTGGCATATTATATTAAAGGCTATAGGACCTCCTATCCTCCACAGCTTGACTGTCTCTATGCAGAAAATTGCCCACCAATCTTTAAAACTCTTTGCCGGCCGGTAGTCTCCATCGGCGCCGACGAGCTGGTTGTAGTCGCCGGAGTTGCCATTGAGCAACGGCGTCTCCATTATAGCATATGCTGTTGTGAAGTAAAGACTACTGCACTTCAAGTTACACTTAACATTCAAATGATTTTTCCACTTCCCTTATTAATAAGCAACGAAATTATAAGGTTGACTAGGCCACGTCACTCCACCAAAGATCAGTAATGGGTCCCTTCTCGTTATTTAACTACTATAACTAACAAGAGATATATAAAGAAATCTCAGACACTTGTTATCACACTGTTAATAATGCGAAACAATTTTTAACTTTGTACTATATGATTTTATTCAAGCATTTTTAAATGTAAAAAACTATGATTTATAGTACCTTTATTAATTTCTTACAAAAATAAATGCGACTCAATCTCAAGCTAGTTACGGACGATAACTTTAATTTAACTTCTAATTATGTATAATCTATTTTGAAAGTATAAAAGAATCAATACAGAAAGGAATATTAGATATTAAGACAAAAATAAAATTTAACTTGTTATTAACGGAGAAATAGGTAATGAATAGAAGTCAAAACTAGAATAGTAAGAAGTTGTTATTGTGGCAAAAACCACGAGTCAACCAACCCCCAATAGTACATGGTTTAATTATGGTGCGTGCAACTCACCATTCCACAAATCAACACAACTACCTTTCAATTCATTTTGGGGAAATTGGATAATTGGGACACAGTCATAATTACAAAAAAAAGAAAAAAAAGAATCTTAGTATCTTAAAACATACCATAAATAATTAAAGTATGAACATAGGTATTTTGTTTTCATCTGTGTATATTTAAGCGTCTGTTAACATATTAGTTTGATAATAAATTAAGTAAACAAGGGAATATAACGGTGGCATATTATGCAGATAAGTAAAGAATGGGGAGTGACCAACCATGAAAATTGTACAACCAACGAACACCCACAAGAGCTTTCTGGTAAGTACAAGCAAAGGATTTGAGAGAACCACGTCGCCAATTGCCAAAACAGAACAAGTAGTTAAATGTAAATTATTCAGCTTTTTCAAATGTATACTTTTTATGGAAGGAGTAAATAAAGTATGACTGAAACATGGGTAGACAACAAATTGAAGCATATATAAAATGAAATGGATTACTTCATTAGTAATAAGAGGTGAAATTTGAATTGTTTACTGCTTATTAGGAAAACACGTAGAAAAAAAGTAGTATAAAACAGTAAAAGCGAATAATAGGAAAAATATAATATTGTATATACTATTGGAAAATTTAGGTAAATTAAACGATAGAATTATACATTTTTCAAAGTAACAAAAAATTAGCCCATTAGAGTTTCACAAGGGTATCTTTTGGTGGATCTTTGACAAAGAGAAGTATATTAGTACATTTTTAAGTTGCCAACTCTGTAGCGGAGTTGCCCTTGCGCATGAAAGTCATTAGCCCGTAAATACGGCAACTACGTTATTGCTTTCTCCGATTCATTTGCTTGTTTTCTTTTTAGTATATTCTAAAAAGTGCTTTCTTTTTAAGTATAGAAACAAATTAATTTGAACATTTTATTTTATCTTTAATAAAAAGTCTTTATAGCCATTATTCTTGGGTGAATGATACAGTTACCCACAAAAATAAAATTATTTACTATTACCTACCAATTTATTTTTCTACCCATCAAACTAATTACATTTCCTACCCATAGTAGTTTTTGTGGGGAATTTTCTCTTTTTTCTCCAATTCTTTTTTATTTCTATGCTTCTTTTCTTTCTTTTCTCCTTTTCTTTTTTCTCGTTTTCTTCTTTTTTTTTTCTTTTCTCTTTTATTCACTTATTTTTACCCAAATCGTATTATTGTTATTTTTACCATAACTTATTTCACATTCAAATTTGACTCCTTCTTTATATTATTTTTTTCTTTATTTCTTGTTCCCTTTCTAATTCCGCGTGATTGTCATGCAAACATTGATCTCCTTCCCTACAAATATCAGTACACAGTCTACCATTAGCAGTAACACAACCAGGTATGGAGCAAGAAAACATATTTTACGACTACCAAATCTCCATATATACTAGTTAGAATAGAAATGATAATAAAATATCGGAAAATGTAATAAAAATATAAGTAGCAAAAAAGACTTCTAGTACCATATGATACCAATATGGTATACATGTATACCAATAGAGTATATGATTGCTCTAGAATATTGCTACAACTATCTGCGACTATACTACTGTACCAAAACATGCTCATATTGCAAGCTAAATATTCCCAAAGCAACTTGCTCATTCTGTATACTAACAGGGTATATAGTTGTATGAGGTCGTTCCAACAATTGCCTATAACTATAAAAACTATTACATAATACACATAATCTATGTCCATCGGCACAAAAAAAATTCAGCACTGCAAATCATGTTCATATAAATAATTTCATAATAGAATTCACTTAAAAATGCAGCTAAAACAACCAAAAAATGTTCAAACCACCATATGATACCAATATGGCATATAACTATACCAACATGGTATACACTTTTACTTGTTAATTCTCGGTAACTATATGACTATACTACTATTACATAACACACATGCATATAGAGAGAAAAAAAAAAGTGTACCACATATTAATATAATAAAGTATTTCAAGATATTGTACTATATTACTATTATTAAAGGAGAATCAAATAGTGTACCAATTAAATGCAACTAATACAATCAAAAAGGATTCAACTAGCATATGATACCAATATAGTTATACTAATAGGGTATATAATTGTACGGGGTCGTTCCAACAACTGAATATAACTATAAAAATTATTACATAATACACAAAATCTATGTCCATAGGTACAAGAAAATCCAACACAGCAAAACATGATCATATAAACCATTTCAGAATAGAATTCACTTAAAAATGCAGCCAAAACAATCAAAAAATATTCCAACTACCATATGATACCAATATGACATATAATTATACTAATAGGGTATAAATTTCTGCCAATTAATTCTAGGCAACTATATATGACTATACTACTATTACATAATACACATGCATAAGGAGAAAAATAAAAAAATAGTGTACCACATATTAATATAATAATATATTTCAAGATATTGTACTATAATACTATTATATAAACCAAACGCATAAAGAAAAAATCAAAATGATTACATAATACACATGCATAAAGAAAATTTTTAAAAATTCAAGATACTGTACTATTCTACTATTACTAAAAAAAAATCAAACAGTGTACCAATTAGATGTAGCTAATACAACCAAAAAAGGTTCCAACTAACATATGATACCAGTATAGTATATAGCTATATCAACAGGGTATACAGTTGTACGCAAGGAGTTTAATTTTTTTTTTTTTAATTCAATTATTAAACACTCAATAGTCCTCTATGATACCCACATGATATATATCATATGACATTAGGATATCTTAGAGGACCGGTTCACTCCTTCAAAAAAATACTTTAGCTTAAATTTAATATTTTAAATTTTATAATATTCTTAAAAACTTTTACTTGTGAAAAAACTTTAAAAAAATAGATTCATATTTTAGATATAAATATAAAGTATCTTTTGCGAAGTTCATACTTATTTGCTTAGCTTATCATCGAACTATATCAAATTCCATGTACCGAAATCACAATCAAATTTTGATAAAATGACTCGAACAATGACAAAAAGTTACGAGAAAATATGAAATTTGTAGGGAGGGAGAGAGTGTTATGTGGCAATGAAAGGCATTCAATAGGTGATAATTTCAATCAACAAGAGAAAATTAAACTACGTGCACGTAGTGAGTTAATTGAATCGTAATTTGTACATATTGAGCAAACATCTTTTGTTGTATACACAAAATTATCACATAACTAAATAATAGTTATTCCTTACCCATTAATTTGTCAATATTTTAATTTGTGAATATCATAAAAATATTGCCTATCAGATAAACAATTTAACTTATGAAAATAAAAGCAAGAACAAAGAGAGGAAATTGATGAAGAGAGAAATGAAAATATTTCTTACCTTGGATTGAAACAAGAAAAATTACACGTGAGTTGGGTATATGTTTATTTCCCCTGAAACCTTTAGAGACTTCTTTTATGGCTAAACAACTAATAGTTTTATATGGAATAGGTATATTTAGTAATTACTATTCAAATAGGTAAACTGAGTAATTAGTTTAAGTTTAATAGGTAGTCCCATAAATTCATCATTATTCTTGCAACTATTAGGGCCCGTTCCACGAGACTAGAGTGGGCTTAGCAGTAAGCCTCCATTCGAATAAGAATAGAGGTTTATTTAAGACATTTTTAAACCACAAGTTTTAAAAGTGTTATAGTCATAAAAATATTATGATATGTTTCAGGCCATTAATTTTTAAAGTATATTTTTTTTTCTTAAACTACGTGTCTAGTCAAACAGGATTACATAAATTAAAGCGAGAGATTATGGGTTTTCTTCTCTTTTAGACTCTAGAAAAAATAAATAGTGAATCTGATCGGCTATTTATGTAAACATTCCCTATGTCATGAGTTCCTCTACTCCTGAAATTAAGGGCATTGTGTTGAAGGAGACCCATGTGCAATTGGGCTTATGTAAGCCTCGGCCTGTTTTTCATGAATTGATCTGTTATTTGTCAATAGTCACCATATTGTCTTATTTAACTCAAAAGAATTGTTTTGAGAATTAGAACGAGTACAAGGTAAAAACCCAACCAAAATCTTAAATAGGAGTAATTCTTTTGGCGAAAGAAAATCTCATAAAAGAAATCTTATATATTGAAGCATGTCTAGATATATAATTTGTTAAAAAGGTCATATTAAAGCAACTAATTTTCTTTATTATTCAAACATATAGTTTCTAAATTCCAAATACCAATACTAGTGTCAAGATGAAGGGGACCAGCATTTAGGTATATTGGTTCAATGATCACATCCACTTTTTATGTAGTCAACTATGTTTGTTCATTACTAGGTGAAAAGAAAAACATGTTTGTACATGAATCTCAAAATATCGTACCTCCTTTTCCCTCACACTCATGTACTTCCATTTTTTATGTAGCTTTAGTCTTTCAGTTTTTGCCAATTAAGCAATATTCTCAATAAATATG